GAAAATGGATAGAACTACAGAAAAGAAATTTTCATCACGTTTTATTATATTAGCATATCGACTGGTATTTATTTGATAGGTTTAAAACGTATGACTCACATCTTCTTTATTTTGAACATTTTTGTACCAACTGATTCGGGTCATCAGAAGTGAACCAAACTTCATTCCAGACTCCATGTTTCACCCGTGTAGACCAATAATGTGAGAGTGCTGTTGAAAGATGTCGTTTATGGTCGAATTCAGTTTTATTTAATTTTAAAGTAATTTTTTTCTTTGATTATTTTTATTTTTTATTGTCTCTCGATTAGTTATCAGTCAATTGAATTCAAAACTGATCGTCATTCACACTTTTTTGAAAGAAAGACAGGCATCTTTCGAGAACTTTTTGAAAACTTAATAGCATGTCTTGCTAGTAGTGTTTTTAATGGGAGTCTAAAATAAAATGTACATTACACACTGTTTTTAATTAGCAGAGTGTACATTTCCATTGATTTTCATAAGCAAAATGTACAAAATGTACGGTATTTAGGTTTTATATAATAAAAAGAAACTGTAAAAAAAATGTTGATAGCTGATTTATTCGGTAAAAAGGAACAATAATAAGTGAATAGAGAGCAAGGAAAAAAAGCAAACTGTTATCATTTATTTAGGAATATTAACCATCTAAAAGTACAACGTTAAGAAAGCACATCATCATAAGAACCTTGATTTATTAGTTTTCAATATCCTAAATAGCGGAAAGGTCTATCAAAACTATCATGCTGCTCTTCATCATGGTAAACAGAAGTATGATTTGAAAAAAACTAAGTTTAATATTGCGGCATTTAATTTTTTTCTGCAAGTGTCATATCAGCACCGAAGAATGAATTGATATGAATCTGTAAAAAAATAAAAATCACGAAGTTAGACAAAAGATATCATTCAACAAACAACAGAAAAAATAAAATATCGATCAGTATTTAATCTTCGTTCAAATGTAATTGTTGGAAACTAAAAATATATTTAAAATTTCATATGCAAAGTGTACATTGTACACTCTGCTGTTGAAGCCAAGTGCATAGCAGCGTGTATTTTCATAGCAGCAAATGTTTCTACATTTTGCTTCTGCTGTGTACATTTGACATTAGAAACACTGCCTGCTAGTCTTCTAAATAAAATATATCAAAATCAGGAAGCGAAAAGCAATAAAGTAAGACCTCTAATTACTGCTGAATTATTGTATAATTGTTTTCTCTAACATTTTGCTTTTTACTTGGAAACGATTAATTCATCTCTCTCGATTTGACATATTATGATAAACATGTCTAAAAAATCTTGATCGTGTTCATAACGAAAAGATTTTATCGTATTGATAAATGATGGAACAAAGTTCTCTCTTAATTTGTTTCAAGAAACTTTTATCTATGATAGTCTTGATCTTACACATTTTTAACTTATGAACATATTAAGTTGATCGTTTTGATTCACCTATGATTTCGCCATAAAATTGTAGTGTGTAGTAAATGCAAAAATATAGGGGAGTATAGTGCATATGAGCGCTTTTACTAAATATTTGAACGTCGAAATCTTTCAGTATCTCTCGGTCAGATTGAAAGCAGAAAAATTTTTGTGAATTAAATGTGTTCATCTTTGTGCGATGAAGAGACGGTTATTATTAAACAACCTTTGAAATATTAAATTCAACAAAAAAATTGAGGCTGCATCAAATAGATTATCATTGATAAAAAGTGACATCGATTGATACTCTTTCTAAAGCATGAAGATATCCAGTTAAAAAGAACATTTTAGAAAAAAATTATTTCAGAAATTTTTTATCCTTGAGGTTTTTTATACCATGTTCAGATCAATAACACGTTAATTTAGGTTAATAGAAACTATTCTTTTTTGTAAAACAGAAAATACAGCTTTTGAAAAAGATAGACCTGAATTAGCAACCATTAAACGAAATATTAAAAATATAAAAAGGTTCAATATTCATGCAAAACTCGTCATTAAATACTAGTTTCCGATCAGAGCTGCCAACAGGCCAGTACGAATGGCAGGCCAGGCTAAGAATAAGATGCTTGGTCTGGGCCTGGCCTGGCCTGGCTTGCAGGCTTTTGAGAGAAAAGAACAAATTTGTCAAATATTTTACTACTTTCATGGATAAAATTCTACAATGTGCAGCAGATTTCTTTTCATTATCTCATCCTAGTCGTAGTCGCATATTTCTCCTCATTTAAGATAATGAGATTGCGGCCTTTTCCAAGAAATGGAAAATCAAAAGATACATTGCTGAAAAAAGAATAGTCTTTCTTATGCAGACAGTTATGCTTTCAAATCCATTCTACTTTCATCAGGGTTGCTCCACAACAGTGAAAAATATATACTGTAATAAATATAAAATAAAAATTGAAAAATAGAAAACAGTTTTAATCCAAGTCAGCATTGTTTGCTGCTTGTCTTTGTTTTCTGAATGAACCTTGTTGGATTTTTTTATTAGTCAGTTTCATCTCGTATAAGAACACCTTATCCTTCCCTATTGAGACACATTCTAACTTGATCATAAGTCAGCATAAAAATACGAAAAACAAGTAAATTAGTTTACAAGAATCATTTATCCTAACGAGAAAATATAGCCTTCTGAGTTGATGTCAACTCTCAGAGTTAGGTGTCACTTTGAATCTTCATTATAAATATTGAATTAGAATGGATGAGACATTTGAATATCACTAATGATTATCCTTGTCAATTATCCCAGAACATAGTGAGGTTACACATTCGCAATTCTGTTTACAAAAAGACTTACATAAAACATCGAAAACCGAGGCAGGGAATAGGTGTTTGTTTTAAAATTAAAGCATGTCATTTTAAAATTTGCTATGAATGTTAAAATAAAAATTTGACTACAATCACTTTGTCCAAATATTTTAAATCTGCAATGCCGCTTTGAATCAGAATGGATCAATGCACAAAAAATTTTACTACATGCCGTTCAGGCCACAAGTTTCGGCCTGGCCTGGCAGGCTGGCAGCTCTGTTTCCGATATAAACAGAGAAAGATTCTAATCAACATTTCAGTAGAGGCAAATCAAACATTCTAAGCGTATGTTTTTCCTAAAGTCTCACTGTTATTTTACAAGTTTTTTTGGCTAATAGTATACGATAATCGACTGTAGTTTTCTTAGCAACTGAGAATTAGATATAATTGTTTTCTAGTCAATAATAGTTAATAACTTCAAAATCAATAATGAGGATATTGTAGCAAGACGAACACGATTTCTGATAATGCAGTTTTGTAATTTCTTATGACATATTTGTTTTTTGACAGTTATTCTTAGATACGGTAGGAATGCAATCAGCAGAATTAAAATTTTTATTAATGTATTATTGAAAATATTATTTTTCGTCGTCATTTTGATTTTTATATCTTTAAAAAAATTAGAATACAGAATATGAAAAACTAAAAATTAAAAAGACAATCAATAGCGTTCCTATTACAGTTTATATGTTATACTATTGCATCCGTATTGAATCGAGAAACGAAAAAGATATTTTGGACGGCCGTAAAATATGGACGTTTTCTCTGATTGGCTTATAACTCCTAACAGAAGTAAGTCTATAGACTTTGGTTCACTTTCGTGGACCCATCTTTCTTTCTTTCTTTCTTTCTCTCTCTGTCTCTCTTATTTCCTCTCTCGCTATACAGTATATAAATATATAACCATATCAATTCACCCATACAGTCATTTATAGAAAAACAAGTCAAGAATAGATAAGTTTGTACGTTTAAATTAAAAAGAAAATTTTGGGCTTATTCTCAATCAACATCAACTTAATTTACACTTAACATTGACAACCGATAATATTAATACTCAATCAATCAGCACTAACTTACATACATAACATAAATTTCTGATAATAGGTTCCAAGAATATTTCTAACATTTGAAGATTTCAATATTATTTCGTAAGTCAATTTTCATCCATATTTCTATAAGATTCAACAATATCTTAGAAAAATTCTTATTTGAAATCATTAAGATTTGATAAAAAAATCCAATGAGATTTTACTCAATTTGATTGTTGGATAGATTCTTTAAGGATCGTCTCTCTAATCTCTATCAATGAAAATATTCTTTATATCCTTCAATATGAATCATCATTTATTGAAATTGTTTAATCAACGAAAGTATATTAAAAAAAATCAAACAAATTCTTTTTTTTCTTTATTTTTGACAAAAGGAAAAAGAAATAAAATTTATTGTTTTGTACATAAAATAAATCAAATAGATTTTAGTCGAAAAATAAATTTATTAAGTAAATATATTTTTCGATAGAATGAATAAATTACATGTCTTATACAAAAAGAATTTTTATTCAATGACGATTTCAATTTTGAGGATGATGTCAAAATATGCTAATCGTACTATCAATATTTCGAATAACAAATGTATCCATTGAGAAAGGAAAATGTATTGAATAAATGTTGATTCTCATTTATACATATATTCTATTTTACTTCTTGTTTAGAAATAAACAACAACATGTACTATGTACATTTTCTTAAAGAAATTTTCATTTTTGAATTAAAAGATTATTGTTTTATTATATAAAATCTTTATTCTATTGTCTCAATTTCATGAAAAAAAACACATCTCAAATGTTGAAATTGAACATCTGATATGTCTCCGAAGTCAATTTACAACTTTTATTAAAATTGAATCATGAGCATTATTGTTCTTTTTCTTTCATTTTTTAATTGTCAGAAATTTGTTTCGTTTTTTTTATACACCTTTTGTCAAAACTTTTTTTCATTTAAATAAAATATAATAAAACATATTTGTTTTAGATGTTTCATTAGAAATATTTAAACAAAGTGTAGTATTAAAAAATAAATAAAATAAACAGGTTGAATAATATCATTTCAACAAAGAATATTTTGTCTGTTGAATTATCTATAATTAAACTATCAACTTTTTATTATTATAATTACAAAACATTTATTTCATTCATTAATTAGATGGGTAAATCATAAAGTTAAAAAAAAAATATAATTATATTTTCTTTTCCTTTTTTTTTTATTTTGCTAAGCATCATTTATTCCAAAGTCTTTATCAACAAGTAAGTTTTTTAATCAATGAGGAATAAAAAACAAACAATTCATATCTCTTTATTATTCAGATAATCAATCTGTCAATCCATTAATAACTAATCAATCTCATCAATTTACTGTATATATAGTTGCTGATGGTAATCAAGTTCAAGTCAGTAACGTTATTTATTTAATCGAAAAAAAAAGAAAAAAAAGATCTATGGTTTTAGCTTGTTGAAATACCTGATTATGTTAAAAAACCTGTCATATTTCGAAATAAAATTGGTAAAATTCTTCGTTCAACATGTCTACCTGCTATGTCAATAGGTCATCAACCTGTTATAGTTCCATCTGAAACAAATAGAAATTCTTTTATATGTAAGTAATTTTCAATGAAAAAGAGAATAGCTATTTTATCTGTTTAAATAAAAACGAGATACATAAAGAATCAAACAAAAACATTATCTTTAATTTTGTTTCTTTTTGTTTTGAGTATTCAATTCTTCAAGAACAAATTTTGTTCAACAACAACAAACTTCTACTACTTCTCTTGCAAGACAACAACAAGTAAAAAACAAAAAGAAAAGTTTTCCATATTTTATAGTAAAATGATTATGTTTTTTTAAAGCTATATCAAAATTTTTCACAAACAACTCCTACCACTCATACAAATTCATTAGTTAATATACAACAAAGTAAATTATTTTTTTTTATTTTTGATTTAAAAAATAAAAAAATTCTTTATTTTTTCTTTTCATAGAAAATTCAACAAATGCAACATTATGTTCAACATCAACTTTAAATGAACATAAGATGTTGAAAACATATGATAGTGATATATCATCAATATATAATGATAATAATTCATCATCATATGATATATCTGGTTAGTCATTAAAATATGATTCAATAATTCAACTAATCTATGTATTTCTTTTTTGTTTTATTTGACTAAAAATAGATGATTCAATAACAACAACAACAATAAGATCAAATGAAGAATTAAATATTTCTCCAATAAATAATTCTAATGAAACATTAAATAATAATGTTATTATTAAAAAAGAACGTGATTATCCTGGTTTTGTAATTAATCAATTATCTCCAATTATGTTAAATGATGATCAAGAAAAAAATGTTTTATTATCACATCCAAATTCATGGACGGTTTTACAAGTGGTTCATTATATGGGTTCCATGAATTTCGGCCCATGACCTCATTGACCCTAAAATAAAAAACCTAATTTTTTAAAATTAGTTGCTAGACATCGTAGTGCTGAGCAGGACGTCACAGTGCTCAGCGATATGACGTAATGCTGAGCAGAACGCCATAGTGCTCAGCGATATGACGTAGCGCTCAGCAGTATGACGTAGTGCTCACCGATATGTCGTAGTGCTGAGCAAGACGTCATAGTGCTGGGCAGGACGCCATAGTGCTCAGCGGTATGGCGCGGTGGTGAGCAAGACGTCATAGGGCTGAGCGGTATGGCATAGTGCTGAGTAATATGACGTAGTGCTGAGCAGAGGGTATGGGGTGTGGATGTCTCTTCCTTCAACATCCACACTTCACCCACACCTACGCCATAATGCTGAAGATTATGACGTCCTGCTCAGCACTGCACCATACCATTCAGCGCTATGACATTCTGTTCAGCACTACGTCATACCGCTAAGCGCTATGACGTAGTGCTGAGCAGAACGTCATAGTGCTCAGCACTACGCCATACCGCTCAGCACTATGACGTTCTGCTCAGCGATACATCATATCACTGAGCACTATGGGGTCCTGCTCAGCGCTACGTCATATTGCTGAGCACTATGGCGTTCTGCTCAGCGCTACGTCATGTTGCTGAGCACTATGGCGTTCTGCTCAGCACTACGATGTCTAGCAACTAATTTTAAAAAATCAGGATTTTTATTTTAGGGTCAATGAGGTCATGGGCCGAAAGTCCACCAGGAATTTCGGCCTGGCACGAAAAATCACCGGAATTTCGGAATGGGCCTAAAGTCCGGGTCGAAAATTCCGTGGGCCGAAATTCTGGTCTCCCCATTATATATCACGCTTAATTAATAGTGAATGTGCTCAATTATTTCATGAACATTCAATTAATGGAAAGGTTTTATTAATGCTTCAAAAAACCGATTTACTTGAGACAATGAAGATTAAATTAGGTGCAACATTGTTAATCATGGAGGAAATAACAAAATTACGAGAACGTTTCACCTAGTTTTTTTTTCATTGTATATGAAATTAGTCGTGCTATTTTCTTTGTAATTTTCTTTTTTTTCTTTTTTGTATTTTGCAATTATAAAAAAGAAATAAAAATTCATGATAAAACAAAAGTACTTAACTTTTTAAATAAGATTAGAATATCTAAAGATCTTGAGAAACTTCTTTGCTTAACAACTGTACATATTTATTATTTTGTTAATTGAAGAGAAATTAATTGTTAAATTAATTGAATGTTTGTAGGATGACTAGATATGAGCAAGATCGTCGTAGTATCTCTTGGATTGAAATAAACTTTTTTTTTTGTTTTTGATCGAGGTTGGAACTAGAGTTCGTCAATTCCATGTTTGAAAATTTTCTATTGAATGAGTTTGGATCTGAAAAACTTTCGATTTGATGGATCTAGTCATTTGTGGAATATGTAGAGCACACTAGTGATCGTTTAAAACAAAAGCCGAATAGAAGTATCTCGTAACTATAGGACAACATTCTAATTTCTATTAGAAGATATCATTGAGAGTATTAAAGTGCAGTTGAACCGTTCTCATGTCCGAAAATTTTTTGATCTATTAGATTTGTCTATTAATAGCAAACAAGATATTTGAACTGCATTAGAAAAGAACTATAGTTCAGAAGAACCAACTGTGGTTCTCAGCAATATATTCTACTCATGGTTCTATTTTCGCTTTTATTGTCATCAATGCTCTTTTGATTTTATGATAAAATCAATGTTGTAACTGACAAGTAAATTCTGGAAAACAATAACTCTTAAAACTTGCTAATATATATATATATATATTAACATTCATTATTATACTTCTCATTTTCACGATAAACTATGCTGATTCAAAATCTTAATTGATAAACTTAGTGATTACCAAAATCAACAGGTTTTCTTTCTCAGATTGATTTATATCAAACAAGATGGCTTTGTTTAAAGGTTTATCGAAGAATAATATAAAGAGATCGAACAAAAAAGCACTCTGCTTGTGCTAAACTTATATTTATTCCTTTCTATTATTATCAACAAGATTTTATCTTTCTAATTAAACAAAAACTCGAAATACATAAAGAAAGATCATTCGAAAATATTACAATAAATAATTGCATTGTTTTTTGTTTTGTGTATTTTCTTATTTGGATGAAATAAATATCGGTGCACGCTAGTTAGACAGTCTAATGATAGCATAGAAATCAAAAAGAAAGATTTATCAAATAATTAGAAAGAAAACAAAAATCATTTTTACTTAGCATTATATCATGTATTGAAAAAAAGAAATACGCAATTTAGAAATGATGGCATTATCAATTGCGTAATAGTAAGGTCAAGGTCAATAACTTGTTTATTGACTGGAAACAGAAACGAGAAACAAGAAACGAAAAACGAAACGATCAAGAGTAATGAAAGAAGAAAAAAAGTCTTTTTTTCTTTCGGAAAAGACATATATGTTACGGTCAAAATTGGAATTCGGTCAAATTCTAAATTTGTCCAGACAAAATTGGAATTCTAATTTTGGCCAGACAAAATCAGAATTTTGTTTTCATGAGCTGTAAAACTGAGAAAAAAAGCAACACTACGAATACGAGTGGAATCAAAAATGATGGTGAAGACGAGAGACAGGTCTGAGTAAGAATGAAGAGGTCTGGGTCTATATCCCGAGGTTGCGAGTGAAATTAGAGTGAATAATCGCGTAAAATGTTAGTCTTACTGAAAAATTCATCCTTACTAAGAAATTTTTCACCCTCATCAAGGCTACTGGCGGCGATCTTACTTAAAACCTTCATCCTGACTCTCATCACCATTCTTGACCTCATTTGTGTTTTTGGTATTAATTTTTGCTTAGTTTTATAATTCATCAAAATAAAATTCTAATTTTGTCCAGACAAAATTGGAACTCTAATTTTAACTGGACAAATTTAGAATTTGACCAGATTCCAATTTTGACCGTAACATATATATATGTATATATGATGATGACTCATTCTATAGAGCGAGAGAACAGAAAGAACCGATTCGAATATCAAACCTTTTATTTTTATAAATCAACATGATTTATCTGCCTAAAATACTAGAGGTCACTAGACATTACATTTATATAACACTTAATCAATATAATTGGTCTTACCTTACTCTAATCAATTGAATAGATGCTTTTATATGAAACAGATAATTAAGAAAGAAAAGTTGGCTGTTTTACTCTTTAGTTGTAGATTTCTATTGTGCTATTGGAATACAACGATTAAACGAATTTGTGACATTCTGCGAAAATCTCTGTTTATAAAACGACAAGAAAATGAATAAAGAAGCAAGGAAACATTCAGAAAACAAAAGTAATTCTTCAATGAAATTTAAATATTTTCGTGTAATTCTTATTTGAATACTTAGAAAAGAAACCAAAAGATATAAAAATTTCAAAATTAACTCCATTCAAAAAAGATTTAATACAAATAACTGAAGAAACAACAAAGCAGGTTTCTATTTTTCAAAATAATTTCAATTAGATTCTATTTAATATATTTTTAGTTCGAACAACAACGAAGAAAATCTTTAGAATCAATGATGATTGATATTGAACGACGACAAAATGAATTTGAACATGAACAAATCTCATTAGTATAATTCACATTGATTTTTTGTTTTTTTGTTGTTGCTATTTATTATTTTTTAAATATTCATTTTAGAATGAACAAGATCAATTCGTATTTGATATTGGTGACGGACAAGAAAAATCACGAAAAACATTTTATCGAGAATTTAAAAAAGTATAAATTTAAAATTCAAAAAATAAATAAATTAATTTTAATTTTTGCTATTGAAAAGGTTATTGATGCATCTGATATAATTATTGAAGTACTTGATGCTCGTGATCCACTTGGATGTCGTTGTTCACAAGTTGAAGAAATTGTTTTAACTTCAGGAAAAAATAAAAAACTTATTTTATTACTCAATAAAATTGGTATGACATTTCTGTCTGTTTTTTTTATCTATTTAATCATTGAGATTTCTTTTTCCGAATGTTTTAATTAGATCTTATTCCACGTGATAATCTTGATAAATGGTTAAAATATCTACGTAATGAATTTCCAACTATTGCTTTTCGTTCATCCACTCAAAATCAACATGATCGATTAGTACATATTGTTTTTTTCTTATCATTTACATATCTATATACATACTCATTCATCTAGGGTCATGTTACAACATCAATAAAAGCTTGTGATGAAAATTTACTTAAATCATCGAATAAATGCATTGGTGCATCAACATTAATGAATCTTCTTTCGAATTATTGTCGAAAAAATGATATTAAAACAAGTATTACAGTTGGAATTGTTGGTAAGAATTTTTATTTTTGATAAATAAAAAAACAAACATAATTTCTTTTTTTTTAAGGATTTCCTAATGTTGGAAAAAGTAGTGTTATTAATAGTCTTAAACGAACTCAAGTATGTCAAACAGGTTCAATGCCAGGTATAACAAAGTAAAGAACATCGTTTTGTTAGATAATATATTTTTTCTACTTCTTTGATATAGACAAATGCAAACAATTAAATTAGATAAATTAATAAAATTATTTGATAGTCCAGGTATTGTTATGTCAAAAGAAACAAATCCGACTAGTCTTATACTTCGTAATTGTGTTCGAGTAAGTAAAATAATAGAAAAATAGATATGCTTTTTTTTCTTTTCATTTAATTTAGATTGAAACTATTGAGAATCCATTGCCAGCTATTGAATTATTACTTCATCGATGTACAAAAGAACAAGTAAAATTCTCAGTCTTTCTCACTATGGAAGAGCATGTATTGTAACCGCAGGACAGAGAACATATTCTTGTTAAACTAAGAACCTCATTCCTAAGCGAACTGACTGATATATTCGAATTTAAAAGTCTTGATCGTGTATGTGGTATTTTGGAATATTCAGAATTTTAGGAGAATTTAGTTTTCGTTTTTCACTTTAGTTTTATAGAGTTTTTCGAGT